ACGCTCCACCTGAGGCCGTCGCCTCGCAAACTCGTCCCCTCACCAACAAGCGAGCAGCCGGACTGCTGTTGACGGGACGCTGCCGAATGTGGAGTCCGGTTCCCCCAACTCCCTTCCCGGACGCTCGTGAGGGGGGTCTGGGCTGTGACGGCACTTTTTAAAAATAGTTTATAGGGGTCGGTTAAGGTTCGATGGAGTTTGATATTTTGAACGGTTCCTTTAACGAGATGTTACTGCCAAGTATTCTCGTGGTTGAATTAAAGTTTGATTTGTGTGTTTTTTAAACCGTCTCCTTCAAAGACGCGTATGTGTGTGTGTGTACGTTCTGGCGGGTTGTCAAAAGTAACCAATGTCAATAAAAAGTTCGGAATCTTGAACGCCCGTCCTAAATCTGCGTCGTTTTTATTAAAATCTAACGCTGTGCTACGGATTTACCATGAAGTCGTCCTCAGGTGGACGAGACGCAGCGTCCAAGTCGATCATCGTCATCACTTGGTTCGACGGGAGATGAGGCCCAATTCCATTTTATGAGCAAATCACTTAATTCGATAATTTACCATTGGCGAATCGCTCTTCTGGAACGAGCCCTGATTGGTCAAGCGAAATTGGCCACTGGCTGACCGCTGTTCTGGGACGATTCCTGATTGGTCAGGCAGAATTGGCAATCGGCTGGTCACTTTCCTGGGACGATCCCCGATTGGTCCGTCGGAACGGCCACTGTTGATCAATGAGCGTTGGATTGGCTGGTGGTAATTCGAACGGTATTCAGGCGAGAGTGTGTTGCTGACGGTTGAGAGAAGGTTCAAGAAACGAGGGACAGGATATGAACTAATTTCCCAAGCTCTGCTGCCTTTATATATTAAGATTGTCGGTCAATTAATGAGCGTTTATACGTGTGGGGAAAAAAAAACCCACGGGTGCGTGCGAGGGGGAAACGCTTTATCCCGTATAGACGGAACGGGTGGAGTCCACGCTGTTTCTGTGCCGCCTTCTACCTGGCAGAGCCAGGTCGACGGCTCCTCCTCAACACCCACCCACGGAGTGGAAGGGAGTGTGGAATAGATGGAGATTAGTCCACACACGTTGCTGTGCCGCCTTCTGCCTGGCAGAGCCACGGGGTGGAAGGGAGTGAGATGGAACAGATGGAGATTAGTACACACACTTTGCTGTGCCGCCTTTTGCCTGGCAGAGCCACGGGGTGGGAGGGAGTGATATGGAACAGATGGAGATTAGTCCACACACTTTGCTGTGCCGCCTTCTGCCTGGCAGAGCCAGGTTTACGGCTCCTAGACACCCACCCACGGGTGGAAGGGAGGGAGTTTCATACAACAACATCATCTCTGTGTGTGCGGTGATCCAGCAACCCTCGCTGCTGCTGCTGCCCCCACAGTGCTGGATCGCAGACAGCCACGTGCATATAGTCACCACCGCCACCACCTTTCCACCACCACCTCCACCACCACCTCACATTAATTTGAACCCATGCTCCCAGGTTGATCCAAGCTGCTGTTGATAGCACGTGGTCCGGTTGCCAGGGCGTGAGGTCCGGTTGTCAGGGCCAGGAGTCCGGTTGCTAGGGCCCTGGGTTCCGTCTGTATCATTCTCCGGGTCACGTGACACGCCCGGCGCCGTCAATAGCAACCAATCAGCTCGCGCGCGTGCAGATTCCGTACGGGCATCGTCACGTGACGTGGGTTGTGGGTGAACTCGCCAGTGCTGCACGTCACGTGGCTCCACTGGAGAAGCGCGTCACGCCTCGAATTCGCACGCGTGCCGCCCTTGACGAGGGCCCCATCCGCCGCTCAACGTTTTGACGCTGCGGGCCTCTGCATGCCCCCCCCCGCTCTGCCAATCAACCAATCAGTGGAGATCGGCTCTCAGAGCACCACCGACACGTGACGTCCAGGTGTGGCTAATCACACTAATTAGCTAATCACACTAATTAGCCCATCATCTCTCGCGCTGGGGACGCGAGCGTTCGGGCAGTCCGTGCTTGCGCGTGATGATGATGGCAGCAGCGATGATGATGGTAGCAGCGATGATGATGATGATGGCAGCGATGATGATGATGATGGCAGCGATGATGATGATGGCAGCAGCGATAATGATGATGATGGCAGCGATGATGATGATGGCAGCAGCGATGATGATGATGGCAGCAGCGATGATGATGATGGCAGCAGCGATGATGATGATGTCAGCAGCAGCGATGATAGATGGCAGCAGCGATGATTATGATGATCATGGCAGCAGCGATGATGATGATGGCAGCAGCGATGATGATGATGATGATGGCAGCAGTGATGATGATGATGGCAGCAGCGATGATGATGATGGCAGCAGCGATGATGATGATGATGATCAGCAGCTCGATGTCCCAGTGTGGATGTCCTCTTGCTGCTGCTGCTGCTCCTGGCCACGACGAGCGGACTTCAGCAGAGAGAGGAGAGAGACTTCGTGTCGTGTCTCTCTTCCTCCTCCTCCTCCGTTTGAAGGCGCGCAGAACACAGTGGGGTTGTACCATGAGGTCTGTACGGGTCTCTATGAGCCTATGCATATCTACGTGTCTCTGTGGGTTCACTCTGTGGTCCATAGTTTGGGTTGCATGTCCACAATGGCGCGCGACTGTGGCTGTCTAGAACGTGTTCATTGTCTGGGTGGCGAGATTCTCGGCAGGGTGACAGCGGCAGCAGCAGCGGGCGCGATCCTCCGAAGCAATGGGGGCGAGTCGGTGGTGATGATCGTCGAGGTGGTGGTGAGGAACGCCGTCGGTGTTGTCAGCTGACGACGGAGGGGGAGGGGGGAGGGAAGTGAGGGGGGTAGGGGAGGGGAGGAGGGAGGGAGGGAGGGAGGAGAGGGAAGGGGGAGGGGTAGGGGAGGGGAGGAGGGAGGGAGGTGAAGGGGGTAGGGGAGGGGAGGAGGGAGGGGAGGTTGTCGTTTTGTCGAGGAACGCCACGAGCAGCGCCGTGGAGCGGCTGGGACCACCTCCATCGCCGTCCTCCTCCTCCTCGCTAATTGGGCTTCATTGGCGCGTGGCGCGGCGATTGCTTGATTGGGGAGATGATAAAGGTGACGAGAGGAGGGGGGGGGCACTCGAGCGCCGATTCGCCTCGACCCCCCCCACCCCCCCGTCACATCGCTCCATCGCCGCGTCTTTGTCCTCCTCCCCCACTGCTCTCGTCACCCCCCGGGGTGCGCTCCCCTCCTGCCGCTTGTGAGCTCTACGATCTTCTGCTTCCTCTTCTTCCTTCTCCTTCTCGTCGTTGTCGTCGGCAGCATCCTTTCCCGGTCTCCGTCAGCTCGTGCGCCTCGTCTCGCGTCTCAACCTCATCGCGTCCGCCTCCTTCACCCCCTCCTCCTCCTCCTCGTTGCTTTTGGCTCCATCTCCTCCTCCGCCTCGCGTCTCCTCCTCCACCCACCACCTCTCTCCACCTCGTGCCGAGCCCATGGGTCGCGAGTCTCGCCGCTGGGCCACGCGGACGCACGGCTCCCGGCGCGCTCGCGTGACGGTGGAGGCAGATGGAGGTGACGGAGGTGGTGGACACGCGGTCTCCCTGCGGGGCCTGCTGGTGACGCTGGTTCTGGGGCTCTCCCGCCTGCTGGGCCGGGCGTGCGCGGTGGTGCAGCGCGTGGCGAGCTGGCTGGGTGGCCTCCTCCTCCTCCTCTTCGTTCGCGGAGCAGAGGACGACGCGACGAAGAAGAGGTGGGACGTCTCTAGCTCGCCCCCTCTCCCCCCCGCCACTGGGGAGACAAAGACGGCCGGGCGTGGCACTGGCCACCCCCACCACTTCGCGTGCTGTGGCTGTCTCCATAGGTGCTGCTACTCGCTGACGGCACAAGCAGTCTGTGGCCGTCTGGAACGCTCGTCTAGATTGAAAACTCATGACTTTAGAACTGCTTTAGTTTGCCGGACGTAAAAGTTTTACATCAACGCTGCCCATAGACTCAACGCTGCCCGTAGACTAAACGCTGCCCGTAGACTAAACGCTACCCGTAGACTCAACACTACCCATAGACTCAACACTACCCGTAGACTCAACACTGCCCGTAGACTCAACGCTGCCCGTAGACTCAACGCTGCCCGTAGACTCAACGCTGCCCGTAGACTCAACGCTACCCGTAGACTCAACGCTGCCCATAGACTAAACGCTGCCCATAGACTCAACGCTGCCCATAGACTCAACACTGCCCATAGACTCAACACTGCCCATAGACTCAACACTGCCCATAGACTCAACACTGCCCATAGACTCAACACTGCCCATAAACTCAACACTGCCCATAGACTCAACGCTGCCCATAGACTCAACGCTGCCCATAGACTCAACGCTGCCCATAGATTCAACACTGCCCATAGACTCAACACTGCCCATAGACTCAACACTGCCCATAGACTCAACACTGCCCATAGACTCAACACTGCCCATAGACTCAACATCGCACTTCCGATGAGTACAGTGGGCTACGTACGGTGCGCAGGAAGTTCAACATAGAAGGGGGCTATACCCGGGCGGGGGTGCCATCCTTTCGTCCTTGTCATTTTGTTATTGTCGTGCAGAAAGGCAAAGGTCCGTCCAAGGCATCGCTGCGTCCCGCCTGCCGCGGGAGCCCGAGACCACGTGGAGATCTCGCACGGGCAGCAGCAGCAGCAGGAGCAGCAGGAGGAGGAGGAGGAGGCCGCTGATGCCTCGAGCGAGCCGGGCACTGCTGAGGAGGAGGTCGTCGTCCCACAGGGTCCAGAGGATGTCGTGGCCATTCCACGAGGATCTGAGGAAGAGGAGGTGCTCGTGGTGGTGGAGGACACGTGCCAGAGGATGGAGGATGATGATGATGATGTGCCACAGAAACTGGAGGAGGATATGGTGCGTGGGATGGAAGCGATGCCGCAGAGCCTGGAGATGATTGGGATGGCTCGGGAGGAGGAGGTGGTGGAGGAGGAGGTGGTGGAGAAGGAGGAGGAGGTGGTGGTGGTGGAGGAGGAGGAGGAGGAGGAGGAGGTGGTGGTGGAGGAGGAGGAGGAGGAGGAGGGGGGGGTGTTGGTGGAAGGGGAGGGGGTGGTGGTGAACCTCCCGTGGTTTGCCGACTTGGACCCTCCAGAGCCCGAGGTGGTGGCGAGCATCATTGAGGAGGTGACCGCTTCGCCTCGTCACTTCACCTCGTCGCTCCACCTCGTCCTTGGGCTCGAGAACAGCTGGAGGGTTTGGGGAATAATGGAGGCACTGGGTGGCAGGGCTAGCGACCACCCCCCACCAACAACGGCAGCAGTGGGCATTGAGTTGGGGGGGGGGAATATCATATACACAATGTTATACGTTTTTGTTTTTTAACATGTACTATTAATACATTATATACTATCTAAATGGTGTGTACACGTCATCCACTCCCACCCACCCCCCTCTGGGCGTGGTGTGTACACGTCACCCACCCCGCCCCCACCCCGCCTTGTGTGCAGGTGGAGCGAATGCTGTCGAACGAGGCCCTATCACGTGACCCCTTTCTGCTCAAGCACGTGCGCCGCAACGGCCCGGGCTACGTGAGCGTCAAACTCCTGACCTCTCTACGCGGGGTGAGCACCGAGGCAGCTGTGGGTCAATGTCTCCGACACCCCCCCCCCACCCCCCCCCGTACCTCCGATTAGCACGCTTGGCTACGTACGGTGTGAAAGGCGTTCAACACGCGTCCACACGAACTCCTTTACTTACGAACGAGTTGGGCTTCAGAGGTCTGTTCGTAAGTCGATTTGTTGATTCCAAACACGATGTACGGCTGCGTACTAAACATGGGGAATGGCTTTTACAGTTGAATGATTTCCTGTAGATGCCACTGGTTCTTCACGTTCTGTAGATGTAGATGCCACTGGTTCTTCATGCTCTGCAGATGTAGATGCCACTAGTTCTTCACGTTCTGCAGATGTAGATGCCACTGGTTCTTCACGTTCTGCAGATGTAGATGCCACTGGTTCTTCACGTTCTGTAGATGTAGATGCCACTGGTTCTTCACGTTCTGCAGATGTAGATGCCACCTGGTTCTTCACGTTCTGCAGATGTAGATGCCACTGGTTCTTCACGTTCTGTAGATGTAGATGCCACTGGTTCTTCACGTTCTGTAGATGTAGATGCCACTGGTTCTTCACGTTCTGTAGATGTAGATGCCACTGGTTCTTCACGTTCTGCAGATGTAGATGCCACTGGTTCTTCACGTTCTGCAGATGTAGATGCCACTGGTTCTTCACGTTCTGCAGATGTAGATGCCACTGGTTCTTCACGTTCTGCAGATGTAGATGCCACCATCGCCATCTATTGCGCGGCGGGTTGAGCTTGCGATCTTTCTGTCCGAACGGGCAACTCGGCATATGGACAGGTTTGTTCGTATCTCTGAAAGTTTGTAAGTCAAATGGTCGTAAGCAGAGGAGCCCCTTACTGCCCATAGGCTAACGCTACCCATACTCATACTACCACAGACTTGTACTACCCATAGAATGATTGGCTATGAAAGAAGTTCAACATACACACTGCCCATAGACTCGACACTGCACCTGCCATTAGCACGGTTGGCTATGAACGTTGGTTCATAAGAAGTTCAACGTACAGATATACATAGCCCTGCCACTGACCGCTAACCCTGCCCTACCTGACCCGCACCTTGCATCACCGTCACGTCCCCCTGCTTCACTTGCTCTGCGGTGGTGACGTTCACAACGGTGTCTGGGTGGGTTTGTTCGCTTCGTGGTGATTGGCAGGGCGTCGTTCTTCACCAGGACGAGGGTTTCCACCATTGAGTTTCTTGAACCTGGGTGGTGACTCTCAATTGATGGAGGGAGGGGCCGTGATGGAGATTGTTTTTTGCAAAAGAAGAGGTCGACAGATAATCTGTCACAAGCGACAACGAGACACGTTGTCGCTTGTGACCTATATTCTGTCGACCTCTGGAAATTGGGTTAAAAAAATAACCTTGTCCACGGCACTGATTCCAAGAATATTGCACGAACATAGATTGATGACTCTGGTCTAAAACGAATGAACTATTTAACACGTAGGCTTTCGGAACCAATATTATTCATAATCAACGTTTTTGGGTTTAGATCGCGTTATTTATAAATGTGTCGTAACCCTCCACCACCCGACACGGCCAATCAGTAAAAGTGTCACGTTGACAAAAGACAAATAGTTCACTGCTTTAGCCAGAATTCTGGCGAATTGCCCGATGATGCTGGATGCAATTACCAGCGAAACGTCGTACTCAAATTGTAAATGTTGTGGTTTCACGCTTCAACACACCGGTGGGCTAAAGCAGTGAACTATTTGTCTTTTGTCAACGTGACACTTTTTTACTGATTGGCCGTGTTGGGTGGTGGAGGGTTACGACATATTTATAAATAACGCGATCTAAACCCAAAAACGTTGATTATGAATGAACTATTATTTGACCAGGAAAGGCCCCACTCTTGAGCTGTGTGTAGCTACTTTTCAGAAGCGACCTGGCGATCACAAATGATAGCTCCACGAAAGTGGGCTTGTCGTGTAGAAATCTTATCGTGCGGGCAGGCCAAATACTCCGAGGGCGTGACGTTGATTCTAAATATCTGGGTGGCTTCTTATCCATTGCGACTCACCTGGGCGAGTCTGCATTTGGGCGATATCGCCTGGACGACCTTTGAACCCGCGAGTGACTTGCCTGGAACCGCGTTGCCTGCCCCCCCCCCCCCCCCCCCCCCCGGTGGTGGCCACAGGTGCGGCGGCTGACTCGCGACTGGAGGGTCTCCTCCTTGGCGCTGCGCCGCTCCTCCCACCTGCAACTCAACGCAGCCGGCACCAAGGTCCGGCGCCTCGACAGCCTCCCCACTCACCTCCTCGCTCCTCCGGCCTCCCCCGGTGCGGCCGCTTTATCTGGTGGTGACGGTGACATCCGGCAGACACCGTCGCCTCCTCCGGACGTTTGCGCTGCCGGCCTTGGCTCCCCCGGCCTTCGAGCCGGTGCAGCAGAGGGCAGCGGCGGCAGCGGCAGACAGAGCATGGCCACTCAGTGCGGCCTGGGCGATGAAGGCTCCTCCGCGTGTTCGGAGCCGCACGGTGACGACGGTAATGACGACGATGGCGACGGTGGCGCAGAGGGGCAGCAGAGGGCGGCGAGCGGCGGTGGCGCTCTCCGTCTTGGCGGCCCCGGCGCCGGCTCGCTGGCGGTGGCAGTGGTGCTGGCAAAAGATGCCATAAGCGTCGGCACCCAGACCCCGTGCGACCCGTCGCCGGTCGGCCGCGCTGATTTCGACTACGACGTGTGGGTCAACGAGTGGCCGTGTTGCGACCGTGACCATGTTTACAGCGGCGGCTATGACGACGTCTGCGACTGTAGTGACGACTCTGATGGCGGCGGCGGCGATGGCGATGGTGGTGGGATCTTTGAGGTGATGGCGTACAGCCCCTGGGTGGTTCGCCACCGGCTGGCCGCACTGCGTGCCGCTCGCTCTGGAGGTGCCGGTGCGATCGGTGCCGGCGGCGGCTATGGTGGTGGTGGTGGCTCCGCGAGACTCTCCTCCTCCTCCTCCCCGCGGATCCTGCGTCTTCCCCGGGGTCCCGACGGCACGGGTGGCTTCGCGCAGCGCGGTGCGGTGGCCGGGCACGGGCAGCAGCCCGACGGCGCCACCGCCCCCGGTAGCGCCGTCGGCGAGGCGGCGGCGATTTACGTGGACGGAGACCGGTGGGACCTGAGTTGGGGCCCTGGGCCCTCTTCGTCCCTGCACTGACGACGGCGTCTCTCGCCCCAACGTCTGGTGGTGGTGGTGATGGTGATGGTGGTGGTGATGGTGGTGGTGATGGAGGATTAGTGTGTCCAGGGTCCCCGTTGGCTTTGCATGCCGCGGCGTCTCCTAGACCCCAAGGCACCGTGCGTTTCATGCTGAGCAATGTAGCACTCTGTCCATCCGTCATCGCGGGGTCGTTGATTTCCGATGATGGCGATGACCGTGGGGTTACGCGCATGCCACGTGATTGCGTGGATGGCCGCTCCATTAACCAACCTGCAGCAGGTTCCCTTGCATTGTCGGCAATGGGGGAGGGCGGTGGGGGTTAATTGGGGAGGTTGGGTTAATTGGATAGGTGGGGTGTGGAGTTAATTGGTGTGTGGGGGGGGGGGGGTGATTGGAGGGAATGGAGCGTGTGGAGCTCACTGTGGGGTTTCTGGCTACCCACGCCGCCGTGTGTCACAGTTCATAGGTGCTGCTGCTACTCGCTACTAGCAGCACTGCCCGCAATAGGCTGTCAAGGCTGTGCGGGGTGGGTGGGGGGTCTTGGTGCATCCTAGGGGGGGGGGCCGGAGGGGGGCCCTGGTGACCCAGCATGGCCTGGCCTTGTCGTGAAGGCTGCCGCTGTTGGGGGCTGTGGCCAGGTCGCAGAGTCACTTAAATCACTGGGGGGGGCCTTCAATTCAGGCCGGGGCCTGTCGACAACCCGGGACGCCACGTCCAGTATAGCCCAGCAGGTTATGGGCTGTGGGCTGTCACTCGCCGCCTGCCAACCACCAGTCTAACCACTCTCGCTCTGCCTGGGGACACCGGGAAAATACAATAATTATGCACCCCCAGGGCAGCAACACCATATCCAGTATTCGGCGAGATTGACCTCCCCCCACCCGGGGTAAGCGCGACCCTTGTACCCCCCCCCCCCATCCCAAATCCCAGTCACCGTTTCAAGTGGGCGCCACGGTGGCGAGATGTTAACTACCTCGCCAGGTATGCAGCAGGTCGCGGGATCGACCCTCCCGTCCGCTGTCTGTTTGGAGTTTGCGGTGTCTGTCTCGCCGTGGTCGCGTGGATTTCTCTCTCTCCGGGGTGCTCTGGGTTTTAATTTCGCACGTTTTGAAACGCGTGTTTAGATTAATTGGGCCGCTGTGAATGTCCACAAAAGGCCGCTTTGTTTGAGCGATCGTTTACCATGGCCAGGTCACTTCTTAAAAAAAAAAGGTGCTGCATGGCTCGGTGGGGCCTAACCTGTTTAACAAAAAATATCTAGGTTGGTTTCGGAGTTCCGATTTGCTTTCGATAACTATTTGGAGTTTCCGTTGTTTTTGGATGTAGCGGCCGAACTCGTGGCTGCTTGCAGGGGTCGCGTGCCAGGCTTGGTCCGTGACAACTTTGTAAGGACGAAATCGTTTATTCCAAAAATGTTTTAGTTTTACGTGTTCTATGGGTCTTTCGGTAAAGCCGCGTAGATAGAAAAAGAATAAAAATATCGCGACGGTTTCGGTCGCAACACGAGAAATCGTCTTCAGGTGCATAAAAATACGAAACGTCGTGACATTTGTATTATTTTTCTATCTGCGTGGCTTTATCGAAAGACCCATAGAATATGTCCTCCTGCAGTCGCGAAAGCTTTAAGTCAAGATTTAGTTTTACACTTCGATTTGTTTACGCGTTTGGTTAATCGCAAATCGACTTAAAAAAAAAAGTAAAATATAAGTTTGTTAAAGTTAGTGGGGGGAGGGGTCAACTTTAATTATTAGGTTTTTTAAATTCTTCTTTCTCGATTGGCCCTCGGCTCGCGACCCAGCGGTTGTTGCCGCTCTCGTGTGCGGTCTTCGGTGGCATCGTCCGACGTTTCGCCTCGCGTGCCAGGGCAAGGGGGTGGGTGGGGGGGTGGGTGGGGCACACCGCCACTTCCACCTCGAAGGGAACCGATGGAGTTCCCTGACGTGCTTTGGGGCGGTTTGGGATCTAAATCGCCACACGGGTACTTGAGCTTGTCTTTAATTGAGTACTCGGTTTTACGTTGTGTGTTGATTACGAGTCGTCACCGCGTGCCATGCGAGAATTGGTGACGCGGTTGCATTTGCGTTGTGACGCGGAGCGACTCCGCAAAGCGGCGGAGATGACAACTCCACGGTCGGGGGGAGGAGGCAGTGGCGAGGCGGTGATTCCGATGGTCGCTGCGCCTTGCTTGCAGGCAGAGAAGGCTCCTGGGTTCGACTCCGGGCACGGGGGAGCCACTTTCCGTATGGAGTTTGTTTTAATTTTTGAGTTTGTTTAAAGTTCCGTCCCCAGTTCTGTGCGTGTATGGGAAGCTACGAAGCTTTGATTCCCGCTCGCGGCCACCAGCACCGCGTGACGATTGTCTGAACCTGGTCCTCGGGGCCCTCCCCCCTCTAGGTCGACTCGGACTCAAATGAGTTCCTGGTGCGCGGTGTGTAGTGAACATCGCAGCTGGGGAGACGATGCCGGCCGGGCGTGGTGCCGGCCACCTCTACCCCCGTTGTGCCTCTCACTAGCGGAACTTGCCCCACGAGGTATGTTAAGGCGATACGGGCAGGAGGGGGGGTGCCCTTTGCATTTGAGAGGTGATTTGGAGTTTGTATGTCCCACCCGAGTGAGAACACAGAACACGGACGGCATAGAACGCACAGCGACGTCGCAGACGAATGAAATCGCGCACCGATCGAATGGGCTGGTGAGCTCGTACAAAATTCCACACGGAGAAAGGGGGGGGGGAGCGTGTGTGGAATGAGGTTGTTGTTGTTGTTGTTGTTACGGCACCCGTTCAGTTGTTTACTATGCCTGTCAACCACTCCCAAACACAACAGCAGCAGCATCGATAATATATCTCAAATATATAAATATCGATTCCTGCCCTGCATCGTGTGACGATCCAGTCGGTGTCTGCATGGTGGGGGGAGGAGGGGGTTAAATCGTTCATCCCCTACAACAAATTGGTACCGCAGATTTATCCACCACCTGCGATGCCGGATGCGCTTGTGGAATTTCACGTCTGACTGACGGAGCGGTGGGGGGGCTCTGGCTCGCCAGCTGTTGACGAGTTTCTGATTTATAATTACAATTACGATTTAAATTGTAATGAATTGCTGAGATTTTTTATTTAATTAGTCTCCGTTTTAATTTAAAATTCGCATTTCTGTTTTTAGCACCGCATTCCGCAAGAGGAGGGGGGGGGAGAAATGATCGGAGGTTGCCACCTGTCCCGGATTTGACCCTTGCGCGAGTGGCAGGTGGCAGTGGGGGGGGGGGGTAAATTGGCGTCTGCGTGTCGGGAAGTGGCAACCGCAGTGGTAGTAGCAGGAATTTATCTTGTACCGAGGTCTAGTACCTGCGTCGCTGTTAAAATTAATCGCAGTCGTCAACTGGCGCAGCGTTCATAGCGGACCCCAGTGCTGACGGACAGAGAGAGAGAGATGTCTGTGATTTGGTGTACAATGGAAGAGGTGGAAACCCGCCAATCCCACTCGCTCACCCATGTATCCACTCGCGCCGTGACTCGTCACATGCTCACCCAGCCACTCACCCACACACTCAAACGCTCACTCGCTCGCTTACCCAATCACTCGCTCGCTTACCCAATCACTCGCTCGCTTACCCAATCACTCGCTCGCTTGCCCAATCACTCGCTCGCTTGCCCAATCACTCGCTCGCTTGCCCAATCACTCGCTCGCTTGCCCAATCACTCACTCGCTTGCCCAATCACTCACTCACCAACCCACTCGCACAATCGCCCACCCACTCGTCCAGTCTTGGATTAGACCGAGTGCTGAATGAGACACGTGGGTGTTGGTCTCGTTGCTCCGAATGTGGTGAACTAATTCGCGCGCACTCTCTCGTTTCGTTGAGATGGGGAAGATTATTCTTCTGTCACGCAGGAGTTGGGGGTGATGGTGTGGGCACGAGAGGGGGGTGGGAAGTCTGTAAACCCCCACACATTCTCAATTGTGACCCACGGCCCCAACTTGTTGAGACTACATTTAGCCAAATATTGTGTTTTTTGGTTAATTTTATAATTTTAATTTTCGTTCACGACTTCGGCGTTTAACCGTGATGTCAAAAAAAGCAATTCAAGTCTCTGCTCGCACCACCGACCACGTGTTGAGGGACGCGAGCGGGGCGGGGGGACGTCTGCGTGCTGGGGAAGGCTCGTGACCCGAAACGTTTGGCCGCGAGGTTTTTACGTTCTCTCCCTCCCCCCAAGTGTGTTTTTCTTTCTGTGTTCTCGGCAATAAAATGAATTGTGCAACAAACAAAAAACACACCCGAGGGACGTCCATTGCCGTTGATGTCGCGCTCAGAATTTTGTGACGATGCAAGGCGCCCGCCGGCTACACCGCTGCAAGTCCTTGCTTAACGCGTTCACGCCGCTACGCGTTTTCGTTTGTACGTACGTTGAAACGTGTTTGCACCCTACATAGACAACCGTGTTTAATCGGAGGTGCAGTGAGTCTAATGGGTCGTGTTATATTCTTAGGTTTTTTCGGTAAAGTCACGTAGGTAAAAATTTAAAATTAATAAAAGTAAAATAAAAATAACATAAAAATCACGACGTTTCGGAGGCAACACAAGCTTCCGTCTTCAGGTGGAACTGTCACAGCACGATTTTTATTTTACTTTTATTAATTTTAATTACATTTTTTACCTACGTGACTTTACCGAAAAAACCTAAGAATATGAATCCTTGCAGTCACGAAAGCTTCAAATCTAGAATGGGTCGTTAGTCTATGGGCAGTGCGTGTGTGCATAATGTTGAACTTCTATCGCGCCGTGCGTGGCCTGCCGTGCTAATCGGAGGTGCGGGTGAAGGACGTCAAACTAAAAGAGAAAAACGTTTAAAAGAAACTAGTTTGTCAATTCTAGATTTTAAAAAATTGCGTAGCGTTCAGTGGCTTCCTAAATGTCTTTCCGACAGCTGTCTTCACCTGAGGACGGCTGCTTGCGTTGTGGCCGAAACGTCGTGAGAATTTGATTGTATTATTATTTTATTATTTCCCTTCTCGGTGACTTTACCGAAAGAACCAAGAATATGAATATTTGCAGTCACGAAAGCTTTACATCGAAATTTGAGGACTTGGTAATTTGGTGAAGCAATCAATGTTTTGGCGTGCAAGGATTTCAAACAAAGAAATATGCCCGTGAGGTTGTGCCGTGCAAGTGTGATTTGGCCAACTTCGTGTCTTCCCACGCGACGCAGTGGAAGAAATTTTAATTGGAAGTGGGGCGAGTGGATGGGTGGTTGAATGAATTGGTGTATAGATGGTTGGTTGTGTCAAT